AGGAAGGAAGGAAGGAAGGCAGGCAGGCAGGCAGGCAGGCAGGCAGGCAGGCTGTAATAGGTAGGTAATGTAGCAAGCAACATTAGAAATTAAAAACTTCTTCCTGGTGGATTTATATTTTGGAGAATTCCTTGAGATTTTTCTGCTTGGTGAGTAACTGTCTTCATTACATTTCTCTCAGATCTTTTTTCTTTTTTTACAAAAATATTACAAGGAACAAATCTATGAAAGTGTGATAAATCTAAAATAAGATAAGCTGTAGAATTACTGTGAGCTTGAGAAACTGGGGATGCTCACTTATCTGAAGACAATTGCAAGATATAATGGATTTTTTGCAATCTCCTTGGATGGATGCCAATTTATTTACAAGATATATTTTTGTTTGATCAGAATCATCACATTTGATTTGTGAAGACAGAAAAACTCTACTTTATCCTGAAGTTACACACAATGTCTTGGTCACATATCACACTAAATCCTGATTTGCTTATCTGGAAGTGTTGAGTTGCTGAGGTTCACACAACACATTAAGAGCCAACCAACCAACCAACCAACCATATTTTAGCTCAGCACAATGGGTAAACGTAGTTACAGTTGTAAAGTGCTTCAGCTGGCACGGTCATACTATTGAAATCTGAGGCCATTTGCCTTTTTTACTAAGTGGCAAAAATTTCACCAACACACACACACAGACCTGCAATAAAAAGTTTCTTCATAAAATTTTTATAAATTATGGAAGCTGGACTTCAATAATATTTGAATATTCATTTATTGCACACCCCACATTCTGTGGGTAATAAGTACATTCAGCGCCCACTGGATTATTTTATTTGGGAAGGAAATACTGTACTGTAGGTACTTTTATCAGTCTTTGGGTTCCTCAAGTCTGCTGGTTTTTTCCCCTGACATTTTTAGCAATTCTATTTTGTCTGCACTTCTGTTGGCACTTACCACTTGTATGCACTTTCAGAAGGAATATCTACCACATACACACACCGTACACAATACTGGGGCCACTATATCCTGCACAAACACAGCCTAAGTACCTAAACTGCACTGTTGTATGGCTTCTGTTCTTGATTCAGATAAGTGTAACAAAGCAGTATCTTGATTTCCAAAAGGAAGACAATATGGTTAAGTGTGGGCTGATTCTTTTGCGCAGTTAATTCTACACTTTGATCCTTTTCCATTCCAGTGATTTCAAGAGACTACACTGCGAGGGAAAAAAAAAATTCTTGAGATGCCAGGAACAATTCAAGCATCATGTATATCCAAAAATAAAATTCCTTCCCACACATCTTGTCAGGCCAAATAAAGGAAACCATCTCTAATAAGGTCTGGTTGTTGCATTCAATTTTGAATAGCAGCTCATCTCTAACATTTTACAGTCTTGTTCCTAGAGGATTTGCTTCAGCTAGCTACAAGCTTATAATATCCAAGCTCTAAAACTCTTCAGTGAAAAATCCAATACCTTTAAAGGATAATCCTGCATTTCAGAGGTAAATCTTAGCCTGGGAATTCTGACTGTCTTTACTCTTCCAGTGCCTCAGGATTTATGCTAAACTATTTTAAAAGTTAGCTTTGGTTTCTATCCAGCAATAGTAAAGCCCTGAGACTTTTGTCTTCTATTGTTGCTGTAATGCGAAGAGCATCCCCAGCAGATTTTCCCATGATATGTTGTGGAAAAAAATCAGAGCTTCCTTCATTTGTTTCTATAAGCTGCTGCAATGGCTTGGCAACCCCAAGTTTGCCCCCATCTCGGTGATGTTGGCCTTGCTTTGCCCTCCAGGCTGTGGTTTACTCAGCTTTGCTTTTTTTTATACTGCAAAAAAAAAAGAATAAGAATAAGAATTGAGAACAATGCATTATTATATCTGCAGTTCTATCAACACACTAAGAGTTGTATTCTACTAAGGAGTGCTAGAGAAGAAAGGTTGTCATGCATGTTTGCTCTCTGGTTAGGTATCATTTCTCTTTCCTGGATGTTGCCCTGACTTAATTAATTAATTCTGTTCCAGGGAAGAAGAACTAAATGTGAGAAACTACTATGAAAAGGAACAACACCACAGAGCAACAGCCTCAGTGTTCATGCATATCTTCCACTAATTGCATTAAGGATATAAGACTCGTCCAATGGTTAAGAAGTTCAATAGTAATTGTCCAGGGTTCCAAGAAGAAAACCTTAAAATTAGCCTATTATAGCCTTAGTGTGCAAGAAAACCCATCCTGAAATATTAACACTTCCCAAAATATCAAGAATTATCAGATGAATGTAATATAATGCCTTTTTGAACTAATATTTTTGTTGAGCACAAGGTAAAAATGCAGGAACAGTGCAATGCAGCTGCTAAAAAGGCAGTTTAACAGGAGTGCAGAGTCCATATTAGAGGAAATAATTGTTCCGTTCTACTCTGCTCTGGTCAGACCCTAACTGAAGTGTTATATCCATCTCTGTGCCCAAGAGTTTAAGAAGGTCGGTGACAGATTGGGTCACATTCAGAGGACAACTACCAGAATAGTGACAGATCTTGAAACCAAACCTATGATGATTGGGTAAAGTATCTGAGTACGTTTAATCTACAGAAAAGATTATTGAGAGGAGACGGGGTAGTGGTCTTCAAATATCTGAAGGATTGCCACACAAAAAAGCAAATGGATTTATTCTGAGTTAGGCCTGAGGATAGGACCAGAACCAATGGATTAAACTTATAAGAAAGCAGCTTCAGGGTAGACATCAGAAGGAATTTCCTGATTATGCAAGCTGTCAGCCAGTGGAACAAGCTACCAAGTGCAGTGGTAAGTTCTCCTTCATTAGACATCTCCAAATAGAGGCTGGAGAGTCATCTGTCTGAGATGTTTAATTGTCTCCTGCACTGAACAGATATTTGACAACAGATATTTGACTAAGGCCTCTTCCAACTCTATAATTCTATGGAAATTAGCAGATGGCCAAGAACCTCTAGTTTTCCTTTAAACCCCACAAAGCACACTATTTTTCCCTTTGTTATGCCCATCAAGGCTGCAGAACCACTGAATCCTTAGTATTCTAGAACCTTATAACAGACCTAGTTATAGCAGTTGCTCTGCATTTGTTCCTTTCATGATTCAGTCTACCTTTTGCTTAAGACACATACATTTCTTCTGGTTATAAAAAAAAATCTACATAATCCTACCTTATCTACTGGGCCTCTCTCCATTCCTTATAAGGAAAATGCTATGTCACCATACATTAGTTTTCCCTGTGTCTACCTCAGAATCATGTAGCATTACTATGGAACTGCGAATCATGAATAAAATATTAACAGATCATCATCATCCACTGACCTTTTTTTTTTTTTTTACACAAAACTTAAGAAAACTTTTGAATTCACTACCACAAGATGTAGGGCTGGCTTCAAAAAAGGATTGGACAAATTCATGGAAGTCATGGGGACCAGAAGCTACTAGCCTTAATGGCAGTTGCTTCTGAAGTCCATGTGCTGGGAGACTAGGGGGCTTCCTTGTGCAGCTGGTTGGTTACTATGACAACAAACTACTCAATCAGATGGGCCAGGGGTCTGATCCAGCAGGCATCTGCTTATGTTTTTATGAGAGGTACTGTAGTCACAACAATCCAATTTTCCTGGCAATCCAATTTTCCTGGCTTGGTGAAATAACCAAATTTTCATCAATTTTCTAAAAGCCAGGAGGGAAGGGGCCAATCACACAAGGATTATATTATTTGGGAAGAGTTCTGAAAAGGTTTATGTGGCCCCAAGGATGACAATCTCTGATCAAGGCTACATGCAGTGAGTCCACCTTACTGGACCTTTTGGGGTAGGTAGATATTAGCGAGAGAAGGCAGTCCCATTAACACCCAGTTCCATAGATATCTGGTTCCGAAATATGACGCTTTAAAGTGACAACCAGCACCTTGAATTGCATCTGGAAGACAACGGGCAAACAGTGAAGCTCTTGGAATGGAGGTGTTACATGGGTGCCTTGAGATGCACCCACCACTTTTTGAGCAACTGCATTCTGGACAAGCTGTAGCTTCCAAATGCTCTTCAAGAGCAGCCCTATGTAGAGTGCATTGCAATGGTCCACTTGAGAGATGACTAAGGTGTGAGTGACAGTGACATCTGCCATTCCAGGAAAGCTTACAGTTGGCATACAAGATAGAGCTGTACAAAGGCCATTTTGGTCACAGCTGCCACCTGCTCATTAAGCTGGATCTGCAAGACCAAGAGGATCCCCAAGTTGCAGATCAACTTCTTTTGAAGGAATCTCACTAGAATCAGCAGGTCTTCAACCCCGTAGACACACACACACACACACACACACACACACACACACACATACTGTATAGAACAGTTTTAGCAACAGATATTATACATGCAATTATATGGTTCAGCTAGATAGCACATCTCTTGCACAAACTGTAAGTGGAATACGGTGCTGCCATTGCTAACTCACAAGTTCTGAGTTGTAAACTTTATTACCATGAAATCTGCTCTTACAGGGTAAACCATTTTATGGCAAAGACCATGGTGATTTTCTTGGGTGAATGGAAAATGCAAGCAATGGAATTCTTGCCAGGGAAGAAAATTTAATTAGCTTTTTCTGCCCCTCCTCTGTAAAATGTCTGAAGCCCAAGTAACATAGTAATGCAATGCCTAGCAAACATGAATGCAGTCACAAAGGCAATTGCGCCAAGGGAGAAATGAAATGAAATGTGTAATTTGAGGCTCTATAGCAACTGTGAGATAACAGAGGCAAAATAGAATTACCCCCCACCAAAAAAATAGATTGTGCAAATGATGGAACATTATTTAAATCAATTCTTCCTTCATTATAACCTTACCAGAACCTAAAAACCCAGCTAAGTCCTTCTAGGAAGATAGAAAATATTTCAACAATTTTATTTAAGATATTATTTTTGTAGTCTTATATACACTAACCTAGATATAAAATGAACTGGGACCTTCTTACCTGGACATAGGCATGGAACTGCACATGCTTTGTGAGGCATGATAGCCATTCATCCACACAGTTTTTTCACATTTTTTAAGAGGCAGAGGTTTGTTGAAGGAGAAACAAAAGTCCTTATTTTTTATCTGATTGGTTTTCTTCAGTTCAGTTCCTTTTGCATTAAAAGAGACAGGTCTGCTGAATCAATAATATACAAATAATAATTTTTAAAACTTGGTCACTAATAGTCTAAAATTACATGTTTTGTAATTCATGCTTCCATAATTTTTCCAAACAAAATATTTATTTATGCAGTTGAAGCAACTAATGAATACTTAACAAATGAGAAGTCAGAATTCTGTCAGTTGCCTTGAGTGCCCGGTAGATACAAAGGCAAGATCATACCGATTGCCAATTCCCATCCCATAGTGATTCAGAACTAGCAATTTTTTATTTATTAACATATATTCATTCATGCTGCCTACTGATCATGTGCAGGACAAGTCCCTCAGATAAGATTAACCCTGAAAACTTCTACCCAGCCACTCTCTCTGCAGCAAGAAAATCTGGCTTAAACAATTCTTTTCCTTATGCTGCCAGAATATACCTCTTTTTAAGAATTCCCTGTCATAACTTAAAACCTTGCAAATGTATCATGACAGTCCTCTCCCTTCCTAAGCAGCATCTTAGCTAGCCATCACCATGATGTCAGGGCCAAGTTAAACATGTTTAAAAAAGGAAAACGCCCAAAATATGGGAACAGTTCAATTTAAACAGGAAAAGAGAGGGGTGGGGAATACAGAATGCACTCATTTAACTGCCGATTACCTACACAGTTTTATGCTGCAGTTTCCCTATCCCCCTGCCTGCTCCAAGTGCCAAGTTCTGATATGACAACAACCTCAGCTCAACAGAGAGCATTCAGAAAGGATGTATGAGAAAATTAAATAACACAAACAGCCTGAATACACCTGCTTTTACAGTTAAAATCTGCTATTAATGGCACATCACTTTTAGCAACTAATCCTAAAATGGTAAATTTGAAGAACAAATATTTGGTTTACAGGTAGTCCTCGTTTAGTAAACACATTTGGGACCGGCAACTCAGTCACTAAGCAAAGCAGTTGCTAAGTGAAACCGCAACTGTGCTTATAATCTTATTTCAGCTTTCCTTTAATTTACAGACTTGTGAAGGTCATAAATGTGAGAACTTGTCACAACATTACTTTTTCATCACTGTTGTAACTGCAAACAGTTGCTAATCAAGGCAGTTGCTGAACGAGGACTACCTGTATTTAGACCTGAAGACATTCCTTGTCCTGGAAATGTTGCAGCTCTGCAAAAAAGTATTCACCCGCTTGTAACTGTGAACGGTTAGTAAATGAGTCAATCACTAAACAAGGACTACTTGTAATTAAAGTTAATGTGTTAATTTAAATATCAAAGTGATTCCTAGCCCACTTTTTTTTAAAAAAAAGTTTGTTCTTTTCCCTCTTTTCAGTTGAACAAATATGAATACAGTGAAAGCTTAAAGCACATAAACTAAAATCTGTTATGAATCCAAGCATTGTTTAGTTCCATATGTAAAGCAATGGTGAAAAAAAAACACAGTAAAATATAGTAGAATTTAAGCATAACTTTTGACTCTCCAGTCTGAATCCACCTTGGCAGATGAATACTGTGTCTTTCCAGAGACCTGGAAATGTCTGGTTTTGCACCAATTCACTCTCCAAACAGACACTGGGATATGTTTAGTGTGATATTTTTATGACTGGAAGGCACTATGAAACACTTAATAATACTTTTAAAAACCTGTATTTGGAGTTTTTCTTTAGTTTGTGTAATTGCCTGTCTCACACCATAATCATTCTCAGATAACTATATTCTCACGATCGGTTCCAGTTAATAAAAAAGATAAAATTAAATTTGGACAGAACACCAAAGCCAATGTGGTACTCTGGGTGTACATTTTAAAGGCCCCTTGAATTATGCCTTATTTTTCTCCCCCCTTATCCCAATTTCTAACAAATAAGATTGTTCCTTGACACAGTCAAGCCAAATGGGCAAAATACAGCTTGAATATAACCTGTAAAGGATGAAACAGAGGTCATAATTCTAATCACAAGCATTCTCTAAATTACACTGCCCACCTCCAAAATGGTACTTTGTTGCAAACCAGGGAAAAATGCACAAAAGGAGTCTATTCAGATCTGAGAGTCCTTAAAGCTTGCTCACTTTCCATGTCTGAATTCCATGCCTGAATTCAGTACTAGATTTATATCCTGACTTTTATTCAGGAACGCATTAAAGTGGGCATGACACTCCTCACTCCTGTTTTCCTCCAAAACAGCCTTATAAGGTAGGTTGGGCTGAAAGAAAACTTCCATGCCTGAGGGTGGATCATAAAGACATTACCTTTAGTTTCTTAATTTCCTACTTTTCTTGCACTTCTGTGAAAAATCATAATCCTTATAGGCATAATTCCCATCACTGCTTCAATTTATGTAGGCATCCTGTTGTGCCATTTTCTTCCCTGTTCATGATTTCCCTGGATAAAAGAATTGCCCCCCTCCAAGGCATACCAGGGTATATGAATGTGGTGGTGGGAGATACATTTTTGCTCATCTATGTCACAGTTAAAATGACAACTACAAACTGTACTTTTTGGCTTGCACAAACTTGGGAGACTATATCCAAAAGCTGGATTCATAATAAATTCCATTCACTTGTTCTGGTGCTGTATAGGTAGTCCTCATTAAGCAACCACAATTGGGAGTGGCAACTTGGTTGTTAAGCAAAGTGGTTGCTAAGTGAAACCCAACTGTGCTTATGATCTTCAACTTTCCTTTCCTTTACATAGCTGTGAAGGGCGGAAATGCAAGGATTGGTCTCAAAGTTACTTTTTCATCACTGTCGTAACTGCAAACAGTTGCTAAACAAGGCAGTAGCTAAACGAGGACTACCTGTATTTAGACCTGAAGACATTCCTTGTCCTGGAAATGTTGCAGCTCCACAAAAAAGTACTCACCCGCTTTTGGATATTCTGAATGTCTGCATAACTTTGCACTGAATGTTATCAGAGCTTCATGTGAGTCCTACAGAAAAATATGGAGTCTGAAAAAAAGAGTACCAAAATTTGGTGCTTTTACACTGGCTTGTAAACATGCATTAACCTACTTGTAGTGTGCCAGTTTGAAAAAAGTAACTGCTCCCCCTCCTCACTGGTTCAATCCATTACATTATGTCTGCAAGAGAATGTATGATGAACAATTTAAATGCTGTGGAATGGACAAGTCAAAGCCCCGACATAAATCCCACAAAAATGTGGTAACTCCTAGAAAGGTTGTGGCATAGAAATATTCAAAAAACTCAAATGTCATTAACTGAACAACTAGTGACATCCTAATTTGGACTTGTGGTATTTCTGGCCTTGGAAACACCTAATTTGCTACAAGCAATTACCGAATCTTACAACCCAATACCCCTTACAATTACTTTTGATCAATTCTATTGTAATGAATTGATTTGATGTGCACACTTTAATGAGTGAATGAAATAAAGAATTAGAGATTCCTATTTTGGCTAGAAAATGGGAAATAGAATTCACATCAGTATCACAAACTTCAATACATCAGGTGCTTCTGGTGGGGAAAAATGGCAGGCTGACGCTCTCCAAAGTGTAGAGAGCCATCGTAGCTGAGAACGCTGGCTGGGAGGTGAATTCTGGCTGGTGCAATCTTCCACGATCAAAGGAAGATTGAGAGATAAACCGTGTGTGCTCCGGATGGCAGTTCCTTCTGAGCTAACTGCAGAAACTGAAATGTTTTTGCAGCCAACTCGGGGGTTGAGCTGCCAGAAGACCTGGAATTCCATCTACATTCCTCACTGCAGTGGAGCCTTATGGACATTAGAGCCTTGCTTCTCCCCACTTCTTAATCACCTTGGGAACTAATTAATTACAGATGAAGAGAGATTTCCTCTGCAGCAAAGGTAAGATTCCTTGGGGTGAGACGTTGATTTAAAAATTCAAGACTATTTGCAAAAAGCTCAATATAAGAAAGGTTTTAAAACAGACAAGGGGACAGTCTTTTTTTCTTCCTATTTTTCTATTCCTATTCCTATTTTTATTACTTTTATTTTTGATGAAAGCGCTTTGCTATAATTTCTTATTAAGCTAGCTAAAGAGATTAGCCCAGCGTGGGAGTGTTGCTAGCTATCCTTTAAGAATCTGTGAGATTGGTGGTATCTGCATAAGAAAAGATAAGGCACAGACACACTGTGATGTTTAGTTGCATTTGTTGTGGTGGAAGTCATTGAGAGCATTTGAAACAAGAAGATAACAAGGAAAAGAAAAAGAGGTGTTTCTTTTTATTCTCTTGGCTTGGGACCTTTTTGCTTTTGGATTTAAAATGACTACTAAAAAATGGAAAACGAGGGCAGAAGAGGCTCGCTAGAACAACCTACAGAAAAAATAATTACACAAGATATACTTCAGAAATTTTTTGAGCAAATGGGGAATAAACTGGATGCTTTTCAAAAAAAATATGGATGAAAGATTTGTAAAGCTAAGAGAGGAGATGACAGAAGATGTTAAAAAGATGGAAAATTCTATAAAACAAATATCTGGAGAGGTAAAGCAAATTAACGATAGAGTGGAAATTTTAGAGAGTAAGTCAGAGATTCAAGAAAGAGAGTTGGAAAGAGAACTGGATAACCTGGCTTTACTGGAATTGAGAGAGAAAGAATTCTGTGTTAGATTTAGAGCTGTTCCAGAGATTCCAGATGAAAATACTAGAAAGTGGCTTATTAATGCTTTGGCAATTTTTTTGGATCTAGAAGAAGAAGATACGGAGGCAGAAATTGGCAAGATTTATAGAATAAATTCCGGATTGCCAGGATGAGGAATGTCCCTAAAGGTATTTTGGTGCACTTTATTAGAAAGAAGACATGGGATCAAGTCCTGCAGCAACATTTTAATACAAGACTGAAAATGGATAATACAGATATAATTGTTTTGAAAGAGATTCCTATTAGTATTTTATGTAAGGGAAAAGAATATTCCTTCTTAGCTGAAAAATTAAAACAGAAAAAGATTCCATTTCTATGGGATAAGTTGGAAGGTGTGATTTTTACTTTTAAACATCAAAAATTTA